ATGCATTAAGCCTGTTTTTTTGTTAATTAAACCACATTTTGAGTACCAGGGAGCCGATTCACCAAAGAATCCTTTTGTGATGTGAAGAATGCTGTTCCTTCTTTTCTTTCTTTCTTTAAAGATTAGATTCAATAGATTGATTTTCACGAAGCACAAGGGGCCTTATCAGAGGAGAGTGGAGGAGACATAATTAATTTGGGAGTTTCCTTTGTAAAAGTTTTCTTTGGTTCGCTGCTACATTGAGAGGATTACAACCAATGTCAAGAAAACAAAATGTGTATAAATTGTTGGATGGAAAATGAGTTTGCCTTGTAAGATTCCACCCAAGCTAAAAAAAAAAAAAATTTAAAAATCAAATAGGTAAACAAAATTACTTGGAAAATTTTTTGAAAAGATTTTCTTTGGAGTGCCTCCTGCAGTCTTTGAGACCCTCCGGGTGGTCTCCAGCCAGAATGGGGACTTAATACCGTTAATGAGGAAGGGATTCAGAGGAAGGATCTGCTTGCCTGACACCTCCCCACCTGCTTCCGCCACTTAACTCCCACACATCTTACTTACCTCAGCTCAAGGACCATTTTTAAACTTGCCTTTCATTTTTAAACAATTGTACAGTGTATTGTTGGAAGAGTCAAATTGTTCTGTGAGACTTTTCCATAAAAAATCAGCAAAGGCTCACCTCCTTTGTATAGCTTGCTGTCAATCACCATTCTGAATTCTCTCAGCTTTGGCATTTGCCTCCAACGAACCTAGATAAGCAGCTTCTACCGCTCCGTCTTGATTTTCTCAGACTTTTTCTTTTTTTTCTACAGACTTTCCACCCTGAAAAGCAAACATTTAGCTTTCCCGCATTTTTCTTTCAAATATGTTTTATTGTGAAGAAGCTGTGTGAACAAGCTTGGCTGTTGAGCAAAAGCTTATAGGTTCAAGTTCATCCAGACACAGCTCGAAAGAAAAAGTTGGTGACCTCTTTCTAAACCACCAGCCATTGAAAACCTTGTGGAGTAAAATTCTACTTTGCCTTTGAGTTGTTATGAGTTAGGACAAGTGATTGAAGGTTTTTCATATCACACGTACATTTTAATTCTGATCATCCATTTCCAACTCATATGCTGTATTGTTCAGGACTTAAAATCTAACCTGTTTCCCTCTTTGAATTGGATTCATTATTATTGCTTGATAGAGTCAAAAGTTCTTTAAATTTGTCTACAATCTTTCCCTCCTCATTTCTTCTTGTATCATTTTCTTTGCACCTGAAGAACATTTCTTGAGCATTTTGCTTTTGTCAAGATCCGCACTTGGAAAACTCTTTATTCTGCTCCTATTCTTGAAGGAGTTTTACTGGGCACAAAATCCAAGGCTGATTATTCTTTTTCTCTCAGCCTGCTCTTAGGGCCAGACAGCTGCAACAATGGGCTGGAACATAATGGAGCTGGGGCGGCTGGTGCAGGACACAGACAAGTTTTATCTGTTGTTCGTAAGGTTTCTATGAGTCACAGACAACTTGATGGCATCTAGCAACACCTCGGCATATTGAAAATGTGATCCCACATCTTCTGATAATCAGTCCTTCCGCTTATTATTCTTTTGTAGGTGATTTCTTTTATCACGAGTTCTTTGAAGATATCTTACTTTTGATGTTCCTAGTGGTATCATCATCATATTCTTTAGGCCCCATAATGTGTCCAATAAAGATTTCTTTTGGTTCATCCTGCTTGAGAGTCATTTGAATTCGTGACTGCAGATTGCTGTCTTTCCACTGTTTTCAAGATTTCTGAGTCATTATCTTTTGAAAAATTGTCCTTTCCATTCTGCTTTCTTCTTCTGAAGCTTTGATGAGGCATGTATTAGGACTCCTCATCCAGTCCTCCAAGACTCTTACTCTTCTGTTCTATTTTCCATTTCACTGTCTCTCTGAGCTACATTCAGAATAATTCCATCAACTATTTGTTTCTTTATTCAAGTTAATGGACTCTTAGGGGTTTAAACTGCTATTTAATCGATCTGCTAAGTTTTAAATTTCAGTTTCCACAGTTCATTGGTTCTGAAGCAATATATTTCTTTCCACATTTGAATACCTCTGAAATGAAGGTGTATCTTGGAACCGAGAGGCATCTAACAATTATAGTTGGCAGGATTTTTGATGGTACATAAAACAATGGTGCATTTTATAATACATGGTGTTTTATAGTATTTGCTTTTCATTTGAAGTTCTGCTTGATTTTCCTTCAAGCCCAAGTGACTTGAAATTCTTATCTGTTTTAGAATTTCTTACTTGTTCTTTTAGACTTGTAAAACATATTCTTCTCTGTCTCGTGTCAGGTAATTAGAGCACCTGAAGACTTTGTTACCTCCCTTGCCACAGCTTATTGTTTCTGTTGGCTTTCGTTGTGGAGCGTGCCAGCTCTCTGTAAGCCAATCATTTTCCATGGAACTTTATCTGTGGAAGTCCTTTGAGTTTGGATTGGAGTTGAATCCCTTGAGAGAGGATTTGTACTGACTTCTGTGAATTGCCAAGAGAATACTACCTACTTAAGACAACCATAAATTAAATTTTTCATTTGGAATTTTAGGTTTTTTTAAAATGTTATAGACTGTTCATTTAGACCACAAAACCATGTGGAGACTAACTTGTGATGAATTCTTGGGCATATTTTCTCCTCTGTCATCTAAGGCCAAGACTAAAGTAGGTAAGGCTCCCTTCTGCTTGCTTCTGCGCAAGACACTCTTCCCTTCACGCTGAGGCTCTAGTCCACTCAGCCTGTGTTTTTAAGTAGCCTCATGATACATTCCCCTTGAAACACAGACATCAGCTACCTTTTCACACTTGCTTGTATGCTCTCTGTCTTAACCGTCCACTTACCTCATTTGAAGTGTAAGGGTAGTATCCATATTATTGCTGGCTATTTTATTCCCATCTCTTACTGCAGTGTTTGAAACATAGTAGGCATTCGATAGCCATTTATTGGGCAAATGATTCAATCAATACTTTCAAGTGAGAAGCCATCATGAAGTCATAGGTCAAGCACAGCCATGTGACTTGGCTTCAGAGTCGGCTGCTGGTGAGACACTGTGAATTCGGGTCTTAGGGAATTCACACGGAATTCTGCCGTCCAGTCTGAAAGCCATGAGCTATGTGCAGCCGTTTAATGTTATCTCACGTAAGTCGAATGAAACATCGTTTAAGAAGTCAGTGTCTTCAGTTGCACGGAGCTCATCTCCAGCTGCTCGTGTCTGCCCTGTTTGAGTAATGGAGACACAGAATCTTCCCATTATGATAGAAAGTTCTATTGGAAGTACAGAATTCCCAAGAACGCTATGCTAATGCTTCCCTCTCTCTGGCTTTTGTTCTCTCTCTCTCTCTCTCACACACACACACACACACACACACACGCACTCTCTCACCGTCTCTCTCCACACCCCACACTCCACAACCCCTGACACCCCTCCTCCCCTTAAACCAAGTACAGGGATGGTTGTTTCATTTCTTAGTGGCATAAAATGTTGTTTTTGAGTAAGAAGATGCAGGGTCCTTTGGGTGGCTAGCACCATCCCCATTTTTTCATTTTTCTTTTAGGCTCCAGGCTCTTGTTTACCAGCCCCTTCTTCTAGTCCCGTTGCCACTAAAGCTGAATGTTCCTTGGGTGGGAAGCATAATTGCTTTCTTTTCTGGATTTGTAAGCCCTTTGCTAATGTCTGAGAGTTCTCCAAGCTGGGGTGCCTGAAGAATTGAACATGTCTGAAGAGCTGAACCATAAAATAATAGAGTAGGGCCAGTGGGGTGGGGAGCAGGGTGTTCTTTCAATAGAAAAACCACCCACCCCTTCTGCTCTCATGGCCGGTTAATTGGCCTTTCTGGGAATGTACAGATGGGGAGGGGGCCCTTTTAAGACGTGCTGGTGACAGTTAAGTGGCCTTTTGTTGCTGTCCTCTGCTGAACCAGTACTTGCTTTGGTTTTTTGTGGGCCGTGCCCCCCTCCACCTCCCGTGGCCCTTCTGCTAGGTTTCTCATCTGCCATTCAAGCATCATCTTCCACTTTACCTCTCCGATATGATTGCTTTGTGAGCTCGCCTCGGTCTCGTTCCTTCTGTTCCCAGACTATAAAGGGGCTAGCTATTTGGGACTGAGGAATTGAGTCTACTCTGCGGAAGCTACTAAGAGCCATCAGAAAGATGGCGGTGACCTTCACCCCCGCATAATAGGGACCACCTGAAGGCAGGGGGAAGGGAGTGTGGGCTGGAGGGCTTCTTGAATAAGACAGAGCGTCCTCTCCCTCTGCCGCCCTCGCCCTTCTTTCCTCCTCCCATCCTACTCTGCTTTCCGAAAACCAGCTGTGACTAAGAGCCAGTGCTGTGGAAAGAATCATCGATTCCGTGGGCATGCTGGAACAATCCGCCAGGCCGCTCACTCAGCTTGTCTTGTCTCTTATCTCCCTCAAACCACTGTGAGGTGAGGAGGGAAGGTGCTACTCAGCCCATTTTACTGATGGGTAAACTCAGATTTGGAGTGGTGAGGGGGATGAGCCCGGGTCTTTTAGACAAGAGAGGAGTGTCGTGGTTTTCTGTCTCAAAGCCAGCACTCTCTCCATGGTGACCGCTCTATTGTGTGTGAGAATGATGGGGCCCAGGGAAAGTGTGAGTGGGTGGTAGGGAGCAGGAGAGCCTAAGACAGGGCTTGACAGAGGAGGGAGGCCGGGATGGGACCGTAGTGTCTCTTGCCTGTCTGTGGAGACAGACTTGAGGTGGCCCAGTGAACCTCCAGGAGAGAAGCGAAACAAAGGGCCTGGTTTCTCTTCCTTCTTCCCCCTTGCCCAGGAGACTTGTCTAGAGGCAGAATGGGGTGTCCTTAGTTCTTCAAGGGCCTGGTGAGTGGCCCCAGAGAGACCCTAACATCTCCTCTTAGGCTGGACCACTGGCCTTTAGGTACCTCGCTGTCCTGATCCAGAGCCATGTCTATGCCTGAGGGGTGTCTGTGAGGCATACGGGGCACCCTCAGAGAAGTGATGGACCCCAAGGGGCCCCCTGTGCACAGACTGCTCCTGATTTGCACCTGGATTCTGACGACAGCTTCAGGCCAAATGAACTTCACAGGGTGAGTGGCCACCTCACTGTGGGAGAAGGCCCAGTGTGTCCCATGGGGAACTGGCTATCCTGCCTCCTGGACCAGGCCGAGGGAGTCAGAACCGTGGTGCCCCCCCAACCCACCCCTCATGTCACAGTTTCCCGCTCTGAGGCTCTGGGATCCTTGAGGGAACTTTCTGGCTCCGGGAATCCCCTGAAATCACGTGTACAACATGGTGGGCATCACATTCTTCTGGGAGAAAGGATCACAGCTCTCCTCAGAACCTTAGAGAAGTTGGTTCCCACAGGACAAATCCTGTATAAAACCATTATTGTAGAATGAGCATGAGGCTCCCAGGTGGGGGGAGGGTGGAAATAGAGGGGTGAGGAAGAGGGGTAAAGTGTTAATCACAGAGTTGCACAATCTGATAGGTGATTGAGATGAAGGAAATGGGAAGGATCTTTTGTGAAAAACATTGTATTCAAATTTTGTAAATAAACAAGAATAAAAGAAAAAAGAGAATAACAAAAAAGAAAAATAAAAGTTGGTATACCCATCTCCCTCAAAAGCCAGGTGGCATTTCTTTGTTTAAATGACATAAGGACTAGCATTTTCTCCTTTTAAGAACAAAGACCAGATGCTATTGAATCCTACTCCCAGCTGCCCACGTATGTCAGAGGGGACTGTGTCCCACTGGCTTTCAGACACTCGGTTTTGGATGTTATAAACTTTATGGAAACCGAATGGCTTTTTTTTTTTCCTGAGGCACCATTGGGTGTACTTGAACTCCCAACCCTTTGTCTAGCAGCCAAGTGCATTAACCACCCAGGTTCATCCACTCCCATCGAGCTGGTTCTGGTTCATAGCAATCCTGTAGAACAGGGTTCTGTAGACCATAAGACAGGGGAACTGCCCATGAGGTTTCTAATGATGTCAGTCTTCATGGCAGCAGACGGCCATATTTTCTGATGGTCTCGAACAGTTGACCTTTTAGTTAGCCACTAGAGCTTTTTGTACGCCCCAGGGCCTCATGGAATAACAACAGACCCCCTGTTGATTCTGACCTCTAGCCACTTTCCCTTGGATTTCTGAGGTTTAAATCTTTAAGGGAGGAGACTGCTCATCTTCATCACACGGAGTAACTGGTGGATTTGAACTGCTGATCTTTTGGTTAGCAATGTGGTACATTATGCACCATGCCACCAGACTTCTGTGACTTGCAGCAACTACTGGTATTTTGCTAGTATTAGTTCCTTTAAGCGAACTCTGGTAGCTCAGTGTTAAGGAGTTTTTTGTTGGTTTTTTTTAAAATGTGTTACTCCTTTTTTAAATTTTATTTTCATTTACATTTTTTAAATGAATTTCAATGAACATTTACAGAGATTTTGGATTTCCATTCATTCATTGTTGCACTGTTAAGGAGTTTTTCTGCCAACTCATATGTAGTTCAAATCCACCATCTGCTCTGTGGGAGAAATACAGTTTCCTCTAGTGTGATTTACTGTCTCTGAAAGCCTGCTTGAGGGTCAGTTATGGGTCGGTTCCGTCTTGACAGTACATGACAACAACAGGTCCTTTAAGGACGTGAATTCTCAGATTATAAAAGACCTTGCAGGATAGAGTCACTGTCTGAGGTGGCAGAGCACCAGTTCTCAGACCTCCGGCCCTAGGGCTCACTGTATACACACTGGGCATGAGGGGGCGGGGGCATCTCATCTCCCTTCAATCACCTCAAGCTCTGGGAGAAGGTAGAAGGGGTCTGAACAGACCTGGGGACCTTAATTGAAGAGGACCTGCCATCACTGGTGGTCTCCAAGCCCCCTGGGTCGATTCCTTCCCTTCATTCCTCCTTTCCCTCCTTGCCCTGTCTGGGCTCTAGGCTGGCTGGTAGCACTGGCAGGCTTGGTGGTCTGCTGTTGCGACTGGGGAGGAACTGGCCCCAGACTGAAGACTTGTGTGCAGCTCAGAGCCCAGTCCTTCGGGTCAGCCCTTCACCCACTTTGGCCGCAGGGCTCCCTCAGCCTGCGTACTGGTCCCCCTCCGCTCTGCCTTTACCTTGTGACACACCTTCCAGAATCCTTTCCTCAGCAGCATCCTCTGCCCTTGTCTTCCCAGCGACCAGGTCCTTCGAGTCCTGGCCAAAGATGAGGAGCAGCTGTCACTTCTCAGGAATCTGGACATCATAAAGCCCCAGAAGGTGAGGAGGCTGGAGCCTGGGCACACACCCTTCCACCCCCACCCCAAACTTGAAGTCTCTACCATAGATTATAGTTCTGTGGGACCCTCCTCAGGAAAAGGCTGGGAAGAGCGACACAGAAGGCTCGGGGATGGTCTGGCTGAGGTCCCTTTGACCTTTCCCTTTTGTCCTGGTGGCTGTGCCACTGAGGCTGGAATTGTCCCAAATCACATGGGCGGTCCACGCGTCTAAGGTGGGAAACCATGATGCACACGGGACCTACATCTCTTTCCCTATTGCAGTGGCTTATTTGGCACACTGGTCTCTCAAGCTTGTTCCTCTCAGCCTGAACACTTATTTCCACTGGGGACATTTATTCTCTGCATGGCTTCATAATCACTATAACAGAGGGCTTTAAAAAAAAAAAAGTATTATTTTTTTGTGTGTGTACCGTCAAATTGGATCTGACTAGTACAGGAGGAGATTGCTCCTCCTTCTCCAGCAGAGCATCTGCTGGATTCAAACCACATACCTCTGGGATTGCATTACAGCTTCTTGCTGCTGGGCCACCAGAGCTCCCTAACAGAGGGCTATTCTTTAAGGGCTGTTGAAGCGCCCATAGGTTTCTGGACTGGGCCCAGGCCCCATTCCTTACTTGTACATGCGTCTCCCTTGACAAAGGCTCATCACCCCTTCGTTACACAAGCACACATTGCTTTATTGCACCCCACTTTCCTGGAAGCCACAGATACTACATAATTTATAAAGAGAAAGTCTGCGGCAACCCTGTGTTGACCAAGTCTGTCTGTGCCAATTCTCCAACAGGGTGGGCTCACTTTGCGTCTCTGGGTCACATGTGGGCAAATCTCACAAGGTTTCAAACTTTCTCATCATACACTCAGTATTGCATACTCAGTAGACTACAGCAGACTTTCAACACAAGCTTTATGCAGCAACAACAACAAACACAGCATAGGGTTTCCAAGGCTGTACTTACTCTCTCAAGAAACAGACCGCCGCAGCTCTTTCCCTCGGAGCGGCTGGTAGGTTCGAATCTCCAGTATTCTGGTCAGAGTCAAGCACTTAACCAATGTGTCCCTAGCGTTAGCCAACTGTACCATGATTAGTGGATACCTCTGTATGTGATGTGATAGATTTACTTATTCCAACTGGCAATGATAAAAACGTACAGGCAAAATAGTATTATAGAACTATTTCAGGGAATAAATAAACAAGTAATTTAATTTTTCTGGATTTTAAAATGTTTATCATATTTTCCAATTTATTAAAATGTTTGTTGATTTCTGGCTTATTCTAAAAAAAAAAATAAAATACGCTTTATGCATGCTGGTAAACCAAGCAATTCATGTGCCTCAATCTTTTGAGGTATTGGTTTCATTTTGGTTGGCCTGGAACTGAACCCACCCTGTCTCCAAGGTCTGTCTGCCATAATTTGCTCCATTTTACAAATTGAAGGAGATGTGTAGCATCAAGCATCTTCTTCTCTAGCAATCAAGTCTCCCTCTCCAAACAGACAGCTTGTGCTTGGTCACGTCCTATGGGGCCCACCTTTAGGATGTTCTCAGGGATCTTCTTGAGATGCTAGCGAAGTTTCAGTGTGTGAGGGATGCTGAGAGACACAAGTGCCGGAAGGTAGACCCAGAAAAGTGGAGACTTGGGATTTTTCTCTTGGTTTTGATCTGTCTACTCTACCAGAATGATGTTACAGAAATGATGGTAGTTACAGAACAGAGTCTGTACAGAAATGATGTTAGTTATAGAAGAGAGTTCGGGTCTTTTGTGCAAAGCTTACTCTCATTTGTATTTGACTTTATGACACTTAACCGCTGCTAAATTAAAGTAGTGCTGCTATATTTGGAGGAATACTCTTCCACTTTGTACATCATTCTTTGTCAATATGCAGTAAGAAGTAACCTGGGTTGCTGTGATGCTGAACCTTGTGTATTGGTATTAAATACCAGAATGGTTTCCCAACGTGGACAGTGTTTAAGTGGAGCTCCCAGTTGTAAAACAAGTTTGGAAGCAGGAGTGGCATCCACTTCCTAAACCACATGCCTTTGGAAACTCTATGAACTTGGAGAAATGACAATAGTCATGGAAGACATTAGGTCTTTTGTTCATAGGGTCACTATGAGTCGCGCTTGACTCAATGGCAATCAACAACAACAACAACAACACTCTAACTTATTGGAAGCAAGATATGAACTTGATAAATGACAATAGTTAAAGAAAGGCTTCAGACCTTTTGTTCATAGGGTCTCTATGAGTCATGCTCAACTCGACAGCAATCAACAACAACTCTAACTTAAGCTCTGGTGGCCTAGTAGTGAAAAGCTGCACTGCAAAGGCACATAGTGTGAATCCATCAGCTGCTCCATGGGAGAAGGATGGGAAGTCTCCTCCCCTGAGATTAACTGCCTCTGAAAACCTGCTGGAGGGTCAGCTAGAGGTTGGTCCAACTTGATGGTTCTCAACAACAACATCTCTAACTTAGGGTTTCTTGTGGAGCTGGGCCCTCCATCTGGATAGAAGGAGGAGGTGTCTGCCTCTCAGGGAGGCCTGTAGGACTGTGGTGAGAACATGCAGTGAAACACTGTTTTCTTTCTCTGTGGCCAAGGTGGACTTCTGGCGTGGGCCAGCCAGACCCAGCCTCCCTGTGGACATGAGAGTTCCTTTCTCAGAGCTGAAAGACATTAAGGCGTACCTGGACACTCATGGCCTCCACTACAGCATCATGATCAAGGACATCCAGGTAGGTCCCCCCGGTGCTGGCGTGGTGTCTCAGCCTCGGCATTTCATTGAACCCAACACACAGAGGGGCCACTCAGCACTGGTGGGGTGGAAGTCCCTGCCCTGGATTGCCATCTGTGTCTGTGTGAGAAGGCCTGGAATGACCCTGAGCCGTTTGCTTCTCAGAGAATGTCCGTCACGGGGTGGTGACCACAAGGTGAGATAGTGGTGGCCGTGCAGGCCCTCTTATGACATTTGTAGCCAGTGACCCAGGAGAGAAAGGAGAGGGAACAGAGCATGAATGACAGCTCAGATTCTTTCTTTCATATGGTGTAATAGTTAAAGTGCTTGACCACTAACCGGAAGGTTGGTGGTTCGAGTTCAACAGCCCCTCTACATGGGAAAGATGAGCAGTCTGCTTCCACAAAGATCCCAGCCCTGGAGAGCCCATGGGGCGGTTCTCCTGTGTCCTGCAGAGTGGAGGGGACTTGATGACGTCAAGTATGGTTTGCGTTTGAGGGGCACTGTCAAGGAAGCTCTTGGGGCTTTCTGTATTTTCCTCCCTCCCACCCCCATCTCCCTTGAAACTTTCCATCTAAAACCAGGCACATTCTGTCAGAAGAGGGAGCTTGGAAAGTGAAGGGGCCTGCTGACCCCTCGGACCAGCCTGGGGCGAGGAGGATAGGCCTCAGGGAGCCCTCATCCTGGCAGCCCCGGTCTCCCCCCCCACACACAGCTCTTCTCTCTTGAGTATGAAGACCTCTGCTTCAGTGTTCTCTGTCAAGGACTAGTCCAGCCATTCCCTGCCATTGCGCCCATTCTGCCTCAGAGTGGCCCTCAGAACTCACAGCAGCCCGGCCCACAGGGTCTCCAAAGCCGTCACTGTCACATCGTTCTTCGGCAGAGCAGCTGGCAGGTTTGAACCACTGAGCTTTTTGGCTGGCAGATACATGCTCTAAGCAGTGTGCTAACCGGACTCCCCAAGGATCAAGATCCTGAGAAAGGTGGTTCCTTTAGCAGCTCCTGGGCTACGTCCCCGGCTGGGGTACCCCTCCCTGGCCCCAGGCCTGTTGACAGCTGAGGACCCGTGAAGTCCTATCCGCATCGATTCGCTCCCATCATGTGCCGAATGGGAGCAGAGTTCCTGTGGGTCTGAGTGTGGGAACAGAAGAGGCTCCAGCTGACAGCTGGCACATTTGACATCACATGCCAAGGGGATCAACACTTCAGAGGGCTTTCCTTCCTTTCCCAGGCGGGCACCCCACCCCCAGGCACATCTGGTTCTGGAGCAATTTGTAGGGCTAGGGTGTGTGTGTAGCTCCATGCGTGCGCGCGCGCGCATGCGCGCACACACACACACACACACACACACACACACACACACACAATCACAAGCCCCAGAATTTCTTTCTCATTTGTCACCCACACCTGTATTTTGAAGTTGGCACTTCCCCAGGTCTCTTCTGAGACCCCCCCCCCCTTGGATCCTCCAGAAGTGGTCATCTGTCAGTCTGTACTCCTGCTGCCCTACTCTTCCCACCTACCCACACTCTCCGGCCTCTTCTTCTCCTTCCTCAGATGCCCTGGACTCTGGGCCCAAAGCGGCCAGGCAGGATTCTCACCAGCCACAGACTGTGTCTGCAATGATTTAGGCTCACACTGTCATGCAGACACCCTAGATCAGTTTTCGGCTTAGTGGGCGCTGCTGGGTAGGCTGATGGACTGGGAGCTGGCTTGTCCAGAACTTGGAAAAGGGTCTCTAGGGAGCTGGGATCAGGCATCCAGGCTGAGGGTTTAATTTCCTGTGTATGTAGCTGGCTTCACCTCGATTTCGGAGCCTCCCAAGCTCTGGTATTTGGCACCTTGTCTCCTTGGATGAGAGCCCTCACCTACTGGAGGGATCCTAGGATTCAGGATGGGAAGCCACCTCTGCTACTTGACCCCCTCACTCTGCCCCTCAAAGTCAATATCATGTCCAGACCCATCTTTGTATCCCAGCACCTACCTTTCACTCTTAGTGCCAACTCATGGGAATCTCACATACAGCAGAATGAAGCTCTGTCCAGCGCTGGGCCATCTTCAAATTCCCCCAGCATGCTCTGGGCCACTGTGTTTTGAGTGCCTTCTTCTGGGGAGGAGGAAAATAAGTCATCTCCCTTGATTTACAGCCTTGGAAACCCAGTGGAGCGTCAGCTGTGAGTCAATTCTGACTCGATGGCTGTGAGTTGAGTAGAGATTGAGTTCCCAGGGTAGAGGACTCCCCTTCCGGCACTCGCCTGGGCCCTGGTCTGTTGCCACCCAGCATGTTTTCCTGGGCTTCTTTGAGGTGTATCTCACAGGACCCTCCTTCCCAGTCCACCTTAGTCTGGAAGGTCCACTGAAACTCACCCCCACTCCCCCAGCTGCCAACATCATGGCAACATGCAAGTGCGACAAACTGACAGGTAGTAGGTCTGTCCCTTCTTCAGGGCTTAAGAAATACTGAAAGGAGGTGAGACTCAAAGGAAGGTGGAGATGGAGGGAGAGGACGGCCAGGCGGTCGGGCAGAGCGTGGCAGAGCTGGAGGCTGGTTTTTACCTCTGTCAGAGGCAGGAAAGACTTTTGAGGAAAGAAGCGTTCAGAGGGGACCAGACAAAGATGAATGTCTTTATTTCTACCAACCTATCACATGCCAAAGGCGCTCTGATGGCACAGCACTTTGTGCATTGGACTGCTAACTGGAAGTTAGCAGTTCGAATCCACCAGATGGATGATAAGTCTCCACTTGAAAACAGTTAGTCTTTGAAACCTGACAGAGGGTTGCTTTGAGTTGGTATCAGCGTGATGCAGTGTTTACTGTGTGCCAGGGATAGGCCAATAAAACAACGTGTGCCATCACGCATATTCTGACTCCTGGTGACTCTGGCCACTGAGCTGCCCTGGGAGATTTTCAAGCCTCTAAGTGTTCACAGGGACTGCCTCACGTTTATCCCCCTGCAGCAGCTGCTTGGGGCAGGGGGGTCCTTTTAGTTAACAGCTGAGCTGCTTACTCACTGTGCCACCAGGGCTCACGTAGGGACCAGGCCAGGTGCTGGAAATAGAAAGATAGCAAACCTGGCCCTGACTCCAGGGCAGTGGGAATACCAAGGGGGTGGAGACGCGGAGGAGCAAGGCCGAGATGACAATGGCGAAGCTGCGGAGGAGCGGGCAGGTTGCTATGGGAGCAGAGACAAGAGGCCGGTCGCCCTGCCTCCTTCTCCCTTCTGGCTGCTCGCTGGGTCGAGAAGGCCCTAATTATGGTGCATCCAGGAGGGGCCTGCTTGGAGCCAACACCCCACCAGATCAAAAGGGCATCTGCCCTGCAGAAGGCTTTGGGCTTCACCCTGAGCCCTGAGAATCGTGGGGAACCATGGGAGGGGTTTGGCAAGACTAGATTCGCATTTACGAAAGACCCCCCTCTGATGGCTGGTGCACATCTTTCAGTGTGGAGGTGGGGACAGGGCCAAGCCGAGACTGACAGGCAGAAGGGTTGCGAGGAAATTGCAGTGGGCCAGGCAAGAAATTATCTGATTCCGAGTGAGTGCTATTTGCATTTAATTTTTCTTTCCTCCCCATTCTTCTCAGCCCTTCAGTTTGTGGGGCTTTCCCCTCCCCCTGGGATGAGTCACCATGGAGAAGCTTCACTTGAGCAATCAGCTCTGTGGATTTTAATGGCTTTTTTCTGATTACAAAATTAATAAATATTCATGCAAGATAATTTGGAAAACAGGGAAAAGCTCAGAGAAGAAAACAAAAATCACCCAAGCTCCGACCAGCTAGAGAGACACGCAAGTTAGTGTAAATACTGCTTCACCAATTTACCCCTCATTACAGGGCGGCCCTACCAGCATACAAATATGTCTTTCTTTCTTTCTTTTTTTTTTTTTTAGCCGAATTAACAAAGTTTATTTTGAGTTCGAACCTGGGCTCCTGTGTGCTGACACAGCAGCACCCAGCCGAGAGCCATGTCCTTCTTTCTTAAAAAAAAAATAAAATAATAAATCCCGTCTAAAAGTGCAACAGTGAGTGAATGGAAATCCAAAGTCTCTCTAAACTTTCATTAAAATTAATAACAAGGAAAAAAAAAAAGAAAAGAAAATCCCATCTGAGGTCCTTAGACCCATGCAGCTATTTCTTTGTTTCCCTGGTCCCCTAGAAAGCAGAACCCCTGGGAGCAAGGACCCACCGTTTCTACCTCCAACCCCTCTCTACTTCCATGAGGGTTTGGTCCTTTTCTGTTAAAGCTGCCTTTGACAATGTCCCAAACGTACCCTGCACAGCCACACTCTACGCCCACCAACTTTCTTTCTCACTCTCTATTATGAATTGAGTTTACAGAGCAGATCCTTTTTCCACTCAACAGTTCATACATATTCTCTTTCACACCATTCAGCACGCCAGTGATTGTATGAAGCAGTCAATGTTATTTCTCTCCCCCTCTTGCTCTTTATGTCTCCCATTTCTGTCTGCCCCTTTCCCTAATCTAACCTTTCCTAAGGGCTGAACTTTGTCTTTGAGCAACTGCTACCCTTTTCATCTCCAGTGGTTGATTGTCGTAAGGTGTTTTGTCTCCCTAGTACTGTTGTTCTTACAGAACTGTCTATTGTTTCATTGAAAATGGAGCCAAGGGAATAAGTTACAGTTCTGCACCTGACCGATGACTAGGGACATAGTTTGGCTGTTGCTGGTTTTTTTTTTTAAATTTTTTAAAATTATTATTAATTTCAATGAAAATGTACAGAGACTTAGGATTTCCATTTATTCATTATTGCACTTTTCTCCCTGCCCACACCTCCCACCCCAGTACATTCTTCTCTTTGAAAAGTAAAAGAAAAATTCTTACATTGTTTTACAATCCCTGTCTCCAGGTCCGCTCCACTATGCAGCCTTCATTCTGGACTCCTGTCATGACAAAAATACCTAATCACATATCCCTTTTAAACAGTTCTCTCCCTCATCTGTTTCAATGCAGTATACATTATTTACCCCATCTTTCTCAGTCTC